AAATTTGAGGTTTCGTTTTCACGACACCTTCTCAGAATATTCGTCTGTGCCTAAGAACAAACCCGACAAATCAAACTCTATTATTTTCAATTTTTTTTCCCACATATGTGACTTGTATGTGATGTAGGTGAACGTGACGTAATTGTATCGAATAAGCGACATATATGTTACGTATGTACATGTTGCGTGTATGTGACATGTATTAAGTGGCCTATATGACGTACGTGTATTCAACTTACGAGTGTGCGGCGTGTTTGAGATGCACATATAAGTGACATAAATGTGATCAAAATGCACTGGGATAGGAAAAAGTGAAGTGTATTTGGTGTTGACTTGATTGTAAAGTCGGTTTACATACACATACACTATGTGCACACATGTATGTCTTGTACACGCCACACGCACATACATAACATATACTTTGATTATAAGTACGTCACATACAACTCTCTCACGTTTACGCTGCATAAAATGTCTCATACACATGCGTAAATACACGTCAAGTACACGTACTTATATATATGCTTTACACAGAGGTACGTTACAAACACTACGTCACGTACATGTTTAAAAAGGACCTAGCATCCAATTCAGTAATTGGGTTATCGAAAACTAATACCACTTGAAATTAAAAGATGTCAGCTAACAAAGTAGATGGAAAAACCGAAGAAAAAAAAAGATAGTAAAATTAAGGAAACATTTTTCAACAACGAGCTGAAAACTGACTACCGATTTCTTTCTCACGGAAAATTCGAATGAAAACAAACTTCGTAATACGAATATTCGAGTGTTTTTGAAAGGATTTTTTGGAGGGATGTAAATATCTTCTGAACTTTCCATGACAGATTCCACAATAGATATTTTCTATTAAAAATACGTTGTTTTGATTATGAATATACGTAACAGTAAGCAGAATATGCATTACGAATATTTTGTTCTTAAGGATAACTTCGAATTTGCGTCATTTGGTTGTGTTTTTATTTCAAATTATAAGTTATATTACTAATTGATTTGATAATATAATACATATAACTTGTTGGACTCAATAATTATTGTCCTATACAAATTTTTTCTGGTAGGTTGTCTGGGAGGATCTTGTTTTCATCAGTAGTTTGTTAAATTAAGAATACGGTGTTTTTATTATGAATATACGTAACACAACACTAAGCAGAATGTGTATTATAG